CTTTTTTCCCAGCTTTCCTGCTTGCAGGTATTCAGCAAGAGCCTCTGATACCACTAACCAGTTCAACTTTGCATAAAGCATTCCCATGCACATACATATTCACAAAGCATCAAGAGCTACTTCCCTGTCAGTCAGCTGATTTGACTTCAACTTTTGTTGAGGTCAATTAATTTAGTTATATATGAGCAAAATAAGAGAAGTAAACAGAGGCACCAGATCTCTCCCCTAAGCGAGAGGAAGGATAAAAGGAGAAACTATGGATCAACTTGAAATCAGAGGCACCCTAACTTTGCCAAGTGTAACAGCATTTGAGTACGTATCTGGAAAAAAAAAAAGTTTTATAATAAAAAATTGGGAATCATTTGTAAGACAACTTCGTTTATATCAGCTGCACAAACCTCCATAGCATTGCTGTCAGGAGTCAAACACTGACCTGCTTCACCTTATTTCTGAAAGGCAAGCCTGAAGGGGGAACGTTAACTGTTCATTGTTTGTACATTCAACAATAAAAAGGAGCACATTTCTACAATTACAACCAACAAATAATGTATCAAAATAAAACGGTGGGACAACTAAAACGGTTCCTGAGCCAAGGAGAAAGTGTGACTCTGAAACCTTGCAAACGGTGGTCTGCCCATGTACCTGGCCTCAAGAGAAAATTAAGTGTGCCACCTGCCCAATAACATGCATTTCACCTTCCTCTGACACAGAAAGGGGGAAGGAAAAAAACCAACAAAAATAAAAAAATCCAAACACAGGGATTAATTTTCAGAGATGTTTGAATACTTGATTCTGCCATCAGATTAATTAAAACTGATGGAAGCAAGAGATGCTCAAGCACTCTTGTAAACCAAACCCTATACCAATTCATTCATTTGTTTTACAGGTACAAATTCTCAGACATTGCCTACTAGATGACCAAACCATGAACTTTGCAAAGCTTCTACGTATTTCATTCATTAACCCAGCAGAACATTTTCAGTACACTAGACTTTTCATCTAAAATAGCTTAAAATGGGATTAGGGAAACACAGCCAAGGCATTAGATGACTGCCAACCCCAAGTGTAATCATTAGTTACCCAGACTGGATAATTATGTAATTATGGGCTCTTCACAAAGTTAGTCTTATTAAACATACATGATATTTTGACTATAAGATTTTGGATGCGGGAAAGAAAAAATAGTGTGTAGATTTCAAAACCTGACACAGATTTTAGCACTCAAGAAAGCCATGGGACAGAAATGCACTGTAATGCAAATGCATCTTTGCAGGCATTCAAGTATTGCAATGTGAAAACTATCAGCTGCAATTCTACATACACAAGTACAGTAACAGCAATTAGGTGAAGGCTCAAGACTTCCCCAGCATCACTATCACATGTGAGCAACTTCATATTTGGATAAATCAAAATATCAATTTTACCAAGCAATCCAGATTAGATATGTCAATGTTTACCTCTCCTTCACAAATACAGAGAATTTTAGAGGAAAGTGTTCAGCTATCAGAATACTGAATCAATCCTTGTAGCACATTACTATAACTCATACACTGTGATTTCCATGACGTCTCTGAAGTTAGTGATTTTGTGGCCAGTTATACGATGTGTAGCTCATTTATTGGTTAACATGCCATTATAGCATGAGATGTCTGGTGCCTTAAGAATGCAAATATACTAAAGGCAACTGCAGCAATATCAGTTGCATATGCAATCAACAGTTGTTAATCAATACAAATTTACTACATAACCTTGATTAACTTGGAGTTCATAATGCTAACCCTTCACCACATTAGTAACTCCTCTACTCTGAATCTACCCTTTTTTTGATTCTGTCCAGGATCTAAGCTATTATCCAAATCCCTTCATTTGCTTTGATCACAGATATAATGGTTTTCACCAACTCCAAGTGACTACGGTATTTCAATACACTAAATCAATATTATTGGTTGAGAAAGTTTCTTGATCATTCTTGAAAATATACAGGTATACTTTAAATAGTAATAATTTCTTGTTCTACCAATATAAACATAATCAACTCTAACTTTTAATAGAAACATTCCTTATGTGAACGCATCACAGTTCCAAGTCTTCTCTTCAAAAAGCGTTCAAGACCCTCTACCAGATAAGCAGGAATTACCAGCCTTCAAAGTAACCTATCAAGCACCAATGTTTTCTTATTTATCAGCTTGAAAGAGTAAGTTCTCATCTGTTTATGCTACTAAGCCCAGATCAGCCAACTGACACACATATCCACTACTTTCAGAAAGGAAGAATGCAACAAACCCTACCTGGACATGGCAATGAGATCAATCTCATTAGCCCATTAGAAGTCCCCAGCCAGCAGTGAGACTGAAAAGCATGCCAGTTTTACTTGACCACCCATGAGCATTGTCATTATTTTCACATAAGAAGCACCTCAAAAAACAGACTGAAAGCAAACTGTACATACTTCCCCAAATAAGCTACAATAGCTAAACATTCTGCATTTTAAAAAAAAGTGATAAATGAGGAAGAAAGTGGATTATTCCTAGCAAGGTACAGCGCTAATTAGATTCTTTGGCCAGACTTACAAAAGAAGTAAACGTATGCTGTTAAAGGACAACATCGCCAAATGAAACTCACTTTCAGAACAGGAAGGGACAGAGGGAGACAGGTATAGGCTATTTAAAATTCCATTTTTGAGAAGTGACCTTCTTTAAAGTTTTACACAATGCTAATTAATCAAGAACAAGACAAGATTATTGAACAAGCCTGCAGAAGAAATCAAAGAGACATAGAACTATTGTTCAGATTAACTGAAAAGACTACCAGTGACCCTTAAAAAGGTATCTAGTTTACATGTATCACTGCTGGAACAAGCTGTAAATGATGACTTACAGGCTACCAGAAGCCCTCAGAATGGCAGAACTGGCTATTACTCTCATACAACAAGAAGTGACCAACACAAAGCTAAAGGTCACACCTCCAGAGCACTCCAGTTGAAGCTGTCAGCACAAATACACATACTAAGTCTTTTCACAGGGATACTCAATTTTAGGAATAGAAACAAAGTCAGTATTGACATGCAAAGTCGACTTTGTGTTATATAGAAGAGCTCATCTTAAAAGTAACAATAAATCCACTCTGAATCCCTATCTCTTTCTCCTGTCTAATACATTGGTAACAATTGCAGACAAATACAAGGACATTTACGGGGTTCTTTTTGTTTACTTCAACTGGAAAAGCTTGGAGAGCACAAAGTGGGGTTTTTCTTCTTTTTTCAAAGCATGTTTCAACAGCCATGAAATTGTAGCCTAATTACAGACATTCAAGAATACACAAGTCCGCTTTTTCAGAGTCTTAACAGGATAAGCACTAAAAACTAACAGGTTCATAAGCAGTCATACCAAGAAAAAAAAATAAATGCACAAAGTTTTTCTTCCTTTCTAATACAGGGCAGAACTCAGCATTTATGTCCAAAGCCAGGGTATTTTTATAAGACAGAACTATACCACTAATATGGTACCAAAATAAGGAATTTAGTTAACTCCTGGTCACCAAATCAGATCCTGTTCAGCCTCTCCATAATACTCATGCCTTTACTTCATCTCCCTTCCTTCAGTCTTTACTCTTCCATACTGAAGACTCCTATTCCTCCTTGATATAAAAGCCATACTATGCCTTTGACCATCCTACTACTGTTCTTTGAACCTTTTTCCAACTCTATTTCATCCTTTTTGAAGTAAGGGACCAGAACTGGACACTATTCAAACT